CAGTTTTGATGAAGGTTTGAAAAACCGACATGTTGAAGAGAGACACTTATGCAGATATGGGATCTTTTTTAGGAAACGTTTCGCCCCGCGTGGCTTCATCAGTCCCAAAACAAAGAGGAAGGCGTAAGAAGGAGGGAAAGAGGTAATCAGTCCTCAACTGGGGTCGTGGGTTCAGTCATCAATCTTGTAGAATTCAGCATAGGCCGAGGGGCTGGTTATAATGTGTGAGGGGACGTGAAACAGTTTGGGGCGGGGTCATGTGGTACCCTCCATAGTCGAAGTAGGTCTTCCCAAGGTTGAACAAGTGTTGAAGAATTCTTTTAACAAATCCATGATGTGTGTGTTGACAGTTGTGATGAATGGGTTTTAAAAAACCCACATGTTGAAGATTGAGACACTTATGCAGTATGGGAATCTTTATTCAGGGAAAAGTTTCGCCACGCAGGGCTTCACAGTCCAATACAAAGAGGAAGGCGAAGGAGAGGGGAGAATGAGGTAAACAGTCCCTAACCCGGAGTCGAGTGTTCAGTCCATAATCTTGTAGAAGTACGATAGGGCCGTGACGTGGCTTATTACTGTAGTGGGGGAGTGAAGCGTTGGAGGGGGGTCTAGTGGTACCATCCCTAGTCGAAGTAGGGCTTTGTCCAAAGGTTGAACAAATGTTAAGAATTTTTGTAACAAGATCCCATGATGTGCTGTGTCTACAGTTGTGATGAATGTTTGAAAAACCGAATTTGGATTTAGCACTTTTTGCAGCATATGGGAATCTTTATTAGGAAAGTTTCGCCAGCGTGGCTTCATCAGTCCAATACAAAGGGAAAGGGGTAAGGAGAGGGGGAGAATGAGGTAAACGTCCCTCAACTGGGGTCGATGTGTTCAGTCCATAATCTTGTAAATGTACAGCATAGGGCCGTAGGGCGGGGCTTTATACTGTGTGAGGTGACGTGAAACAGTTGGAGGCGGGGTCATAGTGGTACCCCTCCCCTATCGAAAGTTGGTCTTCGTCCAAAGGTTAACAAGGTTGAAAAATTCTTTGTAACAAAATCCATGAGCTGCGTTCACAGTTTTGAGAAGGTTTGAAAAAAACCCACTGTTGAAGATTGAGACTTTTGCAGCTATGTGTCTTGTACAAAAATTCTTCAACACTTTTTCAACCCTTTTGGACGAAACCCATTCGACTAGTGGATGGTACCCTATGCCCCCCCTCCCAATGCTTCACGTACCTCATACTATATAAGCCAGTCACGGCCCTATGCTGTACATTTTTTAAAGATTGATGGGACTGAACACATCGACTCCCGTTGGGGGGGGGTGATTACCTCTTCTCCCCCTCTCTTACCCTTCCTCTTTGTATTGGATGTGAAGCCCCTGCGTGGCGAAAATTTCCCGAATAAAGATTCCATATGCTGCATAGTGTCTCAATTTCAAAAATTCGGTTTTTCAAAAAACATCCCCAAATGTAGCACAGCGCTAGGGGTCTTGTACAAAGAATTTTCAAAACTTTTCAACCTTTGGCGAAGCCTACTTGCTAGTGGATGGTACCCCCATGACCCCCCCTCCCAATGCTTCACGCACCCCACTACAGTTATAAGCCACGTCTACGGCCCTTGCTTAAATTTACAAGATTTATGGACTGAACCATCGACTCCAGGTTGAGGGATGATTTCCTCATTCTCCCCCTCTCCTTACCCTTCCCTTTGTATTGGACTGTGAAGCCACTGCGGGCGAAAAGTTTTTTGAATAAAAATTCCCCTATCTGAAAGGTTAATCTTCAAAATGTCGTTTTTCAAAACCTTCTCCAATGTCAGACACGCAGCTCATGGGTCTTGTTCAAAAATTCTTCAAAACTTGTTAAAACCCTTTTGGCGAAGACCCATTTTGCTAGTGGATGGTCCCCTATGACCCCCCCTCCAAAGCTTTTACGTCACCTCACTACAGTAAAAAGCCACGTTACGGGCCCCATTTCGTACATTCTAAAGATTGATGGACTGAACACACGACTCCGGTTTGGGGGCTGATTACCTCATTTTCCCCTTCCTTTCGCCTTCCTCTTTGTATTGGGCTGTGAACCACTGCGTGGCGAAACGTTTCCTGAAAAAAAAAATTCCATATGCTGCATAAGTGTCCAAACTTCAACATGTCGGTTTTCAAACCATTCATCACAACGTCAACACAGCGCATCATGGGATCTGTTACAAAAATTCTTTAACACTTGTTCAACCTTGGACGAAGACCTACTTGACTAGTGGGGGTACAAATGACCCCCCCCCAATGCTTCACGTCACCTCACTACAGTATATAACCACGTCTACGGCCCAAAGCTGTAATTCTACAAGATTGGGACTGAACAAATCGACTCCAGGTTTGGGGGACTGATTACCTCATTTCCTCCTTCCTTCGCCCTTTCCCCTTTTTTATTGGGGATGAAGCCCCTGCGTGGCGAACGTTTCCTGAATAAAAATTCCCATTGTGATAAGGTCTCAATCTTCAACATGTCGTTTTTAAACCATTTCACAAACTGTCAACCCCAGCGCATCATGGGATTTTTTACAAAGAATTTTTTCCCAAAATTTTTCAACCCTTTTGGGCGAAGACCTACTTCGACTAGGGGTGGTACACTATGACCCGCCTCCAAAAGCTTTTCACGTCACCTCACTACAGTAATAAGCCGTCTACGGCCCCATGGTACATTCTACAAGATTGTGGACTGAACACATCGACCCGGTTGAGGGACTGATACCCATTCTCTCCTTCCCTTTCGCCCTTTCTTTGTATTTGGGCTGATAAGCCACTGCGTGGGGAAAAAGTTCCTGAATAAAGATTCCCATTGCTGCATAAATGTCTCAATTTCAAAATGTCGGTTTTTTTAAACCATTCATCACAATGTCGACCAGCGATCATGGGATTTGTTAAAAGAATTCTTCAAACTTGTTCAACCTTGGACGAAACCTACTTCGATAGTGGATGGTCCACTATGACCCCGCCTCCAACTGCTTCACGTCCCTCACTACAGTATATAAGCAGTCTACGGCCCTATGGTACATTTACAAGTTGATGGACTGAACACATCGATCCGGGTTTAGGACTGTTACCTCATTTCTCCTCAACTTAGCCTTCCTCTTTGTATTGGACTATGAAGCCCCTGCTGGCGAAAAAAGTTTCCTGAAAAGATTCCCTATGCTGTAAATGTCAATCTTCAACATGTCGGTTTTTTAAACCTTCATCACAACTGTCAGACACAGCAGATCTGGGATCTTGTTACAAAGAATTCTTCAACACTTGTTCAACCTTTTGGGGAAGACCTACTTCGACTGTGGATGGTACCACTTGACCCCCCTCCAAAAACTTCACGTCACCCCACTACAGTATTAAGCCCCCGTTACGGCCCCATGTGTACATTCTACAAAAATGATGGACTGAAACATGACTCCCGGTTGAGGGGGTGATTACCTCTTCTCCTCCCTTTCCCTTTGCCTTCCCCTTTTTATTGGGGGATGAAGCCCCTGCTGGCGAAAAGTTTTCCCGAATAAAGTTCCCATATGCTGCATAAATGTCTTCTTCAACATGTCGGTTTTTTAAACCATTTATCACAAAATGTGACACAGCAGATCAGGGATCTTTTTAAAAAATTTTTAAAACTTGTTCAACCTTTGGACGAAGGACCTACTTCGATAGTGGAGTACCCCTATGACCCCGCCCCCAACTGCTTCAGTCACCCCACACGTATATAAACCACGTCTCGGCCTATGTGTACATTCTAAAGATTGAGGACTGAACAAATCGACTCCAGTTGAGGGACTGATTTCCTCATTTCCTCCTCTCCTTTTGCCTTCCTCTTTGTATTGGGCTGATGAAGCCCCTGCGTGGGGAAACGTTTCCCGAATAAAGATTCCCATATGCTGCATAAGTGTCTCAATCTTCAACATGTCGGTTTTTCAAACCATTCACACAACTGTCAGACACAGCAGCATCATGGGTCTTGTTACAAAGAATTCTTCAACACTTGTTAAACCCTTTTGGGACGAAGACCTACTTCGACTAGTGGATGGTACCACTATGACCCCGCCTCCAACTGCTTCACGTCACCTCACTACAGTATATAAGCCACGTCTACGGCCCTATGCTGTACATTCTACAAGATTGATGGACTGAACACATCGACTCCAGGTTGAGGACTGATTACCTCATTCTCCTCCTCTCCTTACGCCTTCCTTTTTGTATTGGACTGATGAAGCCACTGCGTGGCGAAACGTTTCCTGAATAAAGATTCCCATATGCTGCATAAGTGTCTCAATCTTCAGATGTTATCTGGCCCCATTGCCTTTGAGGTATCTAGCTCACTCAGAAGCCTCTTCACTTCTTCCTCGGTTGTGTGCACTGTGTCCAGCACTTGGTGGTGTGCCCCACCTCTCCGTCTTTCTGGAGTCCCTTCTGTCTCCTCTGTGAACACTTCTTTGAATCTCTTGTTGAGTTCTTCACATACTTCACGGTCATTTCTTGTTGTCTCTCCTCCTTCCTTCCTTAGCCTGATTACCTGGTCCTTGACTGTTGTTTTCCTCCTGATGTGGCTGTACAACAGTTTCGGGTCAGATTTGGTTTTCGCTGCTATGTCATTTTCATATTGTCTTTGGGGCCTCCCTTCTTATCTGTGCATATTCTTTTTCTGCTCTACGACTGTTCTCCTTATTCTCCTGGGTCCTTTGCCTTCTATATTTTTTTCCCTTCCTACACACTTGGTTTTTGCCTCCTGCACCTTTGGGTAAACCATGGGCTCATCCTGGCTTTTTCATTAATCCTGTTACCCTTGGGTACAAACCTCTCCTCAGCCTCCTTGCATTTTGTTGCTACATATTCCATCATCTCATTAACTGGCTTCCCTGCCAGTTCTCTGTCCCACTGAACCCCGTTCAGGTAGTTCCTCATTCCTGTGTAGTGTGTGTGTGTGTGTGTGTGTGTGTGTGTGTGTGATCATCGACTCCCATCTGTCAGCCTACTCTTTCAGCCACTGATAACCATCAATCAGTCATGTCTTTTACCACCTCATTCAAGATATTCATTATACTCACGGGATCGAAGAAGCTGCGGTCTTGAGAGGTGATCACGAACACATTGGTAGCTTTCTTGCAGTCTTTGGGTCCTGCCTCAGCCACGTGGTCGAAGTATGCGAGGTTAATGACCCCGTTGGCCTTTTCCCCCGGCTTACTGTCTTCCCGCTCGTAGTAGAAGAGGCTACCCTTGGCCAGGACGCAGTACCTTCTCTTCCACTGGGGTATGTAAGGGAAGGTGCGGCCGCTGAGCTTCGTCAGGTAGCCCGCCTTCTCCGCCTCCCGGTGCTGGTTTGCTCCTGGGATCTCCTGTGAGGGGGGAAAAGGTAAAAGACGTTAGGAGATTAGTTGCTCGGTAGATGGGTCAAGTGTAGGTAGTTCCGGGGGTTGAATCAAAAACCAATAAAATTGTCTCTGTCTCTGTCTCTGATCATACCTACTCTGTCAAAAGTAGGTATGATCAGACACTGGAGGGCCGGAATTAGTTAAACCAATCGACAGAAATGATGCTGGGGCTACCACTCGACCAATACGAGCACAACTATGATCATGATTATGCACACTCAGGCTCCTGACTGCCACGACCAGACACACTCCCTACAAGACACAGTCCACACAGTGTTATAAGAACACCAGATAACTCGACAACGCTGGTAAGGGAAAACACATGGCGCGAAGCTGGCAGCCAGGACGAGCAGGAGAAAGAGAAGGAGCGGAAGGAGCAGCAGGAGGAGCAGGAGCAGAAGGATCAGGAGGAGCAGGGGGAGCAGAGGATGCAGAAGCAGAAGGATCAGGGGGAGCAGGGGAAGCAGGAGGAGCAGTAGGAACAGAAGTAGGAGGGGAAGCAGCAGCAGCAGAGGCAACTGGAGCAGGTGAAGGAGCAGCAATAACAGGAGGAGGAACAGCAACAATAGAAGAAGGAGGAGGTAGTGAGGGAGAATGAAAGAGGAGGAGGAAGAGGAATAAAAATTGAAAGAGAAGAAGGAAAAGCAGGAGGAAACAGAGCAGGAAGAAGCGGTGATGAGTGAAGAGGAAGAAGAGGAGGCGAAAGAGGCAGAGAACGATGAGGAGGAACCGGAGACTATGACAACGACAAAGAAATTTTCTCTGCCCTCATCCTTGAAGTGGTTCCTGAAGCTGCACTTGGGCAGCTGCTTGAGGATACACAGCTCTTCAGAGATGGGATGTGCCATTTGTGTCTGGCACACAGTGTGTGTGATTGTTGCAGCCTGAGAAGTGGAGCAAGGAGGGAGAGCAATCTAAGACATCTGCAAGAAAGCTTTTCGGGAAGCCATTAAGGAAAGAGAGAGAGAGAGAGAGAGAGAGAGAGAGAGAGAGAATCACTATGTAGATGAGTGTTTTTATACTTTTGATAGATTTCGAGAGTTTTTCTTACTCCCGATACCCGGCCCTAGGCCATGCTTGTCTGGTGCTTGCCTGGTCAACCAGACTGTAGATGCTGGCGACCCGCTGGCCCACATGTCCATCACAGCCTTGTTGACCTGCCACTTGGTAGGGACACTTTTCCAGTTTTCTCTTAAAGACTTTTACAATCGTGTCAGCAGTGTTTCTGGTATCTTCTGGTAAGATGTTGAAAACTCTGAGGCCACGGATGTTGATACAATGTTCTCTTATTGTCCCCTGCTGTTCCCTGGTTTTATTTTACACTTCGTCACATATCTGTCACTCCCGTATGTTATGCCAGGGTACAATTTTAGGACTAAGCAGGTAAACAAAGTTCACGTATATATTATCGTGTATATTTCTCTCCTCCGCTCCAGTGAGTACATATTTAGGACTATGAAGCGTTCCCAGTAATTTAAATGCTTAACTGGATATATGCGGGCCGTAAATGATCTCAGTTTCCGTTTCAACTGTGATATCTCATCTGCTCTGAACGGGACCGTCAGTATTGAACAATATTCTAAAGAAGAATAAATTTGTGCTTATTAGTAGCAATGTTTTATCATATGCTTTTTCTGAAATCAAGATGATCTCTAAAATATTTCCCGTGTGCTCCAGATCCCACACAGGACCGTCGACATGCTGTCATTTACATTTCGAATTTTGTGTCAGCGTGTCTATTGTATCACCGAGGAGCAGCATCAGTGCTCACTCATGTTATGCAGCCACTCTTCACTTTCACTACTAGTAGGCTTATTCTTCCACCTGCACCATCTGCACCATCCCTTGATTATGACTCGTGGCAAGAGAGCTCGGACTGCAGCTGTCATACCAGAATCATTTCATCAACAAATGAAAGAATCAAGAGCGAGTGCTCAATAAGAAGCAAGGCAGCCATTTCTTGCCCTATAAAAATTCTTCCTTTGAGAATTAGAGCATCGAGACAGGTGTGTTCACCACTTCAAAATTAGTCCTTGGGCTACTCAACATTGTGTTTTTGCAGAATCATCGTACTCCCGCCCGCAAGGTAAGAAAAAATGATATACCACTGCCAGACGTCTGATGAAATCAATTAATTTAAATTATACTAAAATATTTTTTTTATAAATCCACGTAAGTAGGATTCAGATCAATCTAATATGCTATGAGAAACAATCTGCGGATAGAATTTCCACTCGATACAATTTGTTATTATCAGTGAAAAATAATTTTTTCCCCTAGCTAGAGATTTGGGCAGCGGAAGCAGATGGTTCTCCAGGTGGTTCCTCCTCCAGGTGGTTCCTCCTCCAGGTGGTTCCTCCCTCACCGCTCTCCCCAACTTGCTGCCTCTCACTTAAAAAGAAACTTAAAATCGCTGCCATCAGTACTGCACAAACATAACAAAAAACATAAGTAGATCATTATCAGATTCTCAAACTTGAATTCATTAGTGTTTTAAAGCTTTTTTTCCTCTTCCTAACATAATAAAGGTCGAGAAATGAACTTCCAACCGTTGCTTTTAATCATTGAATTATGAGTAAAACTTTTTCTTAGAATTTTATTTTCGTCAAATTTTGGTTATTTACACGTCAGAAAAATTCAAAGGTAAAAGTGTAAAAGGAATTTTAAGCTTTATTAAGCTGAATGGCTTGAAAAGGCTTAGAGTCAGGAAGCCATTACGAATTACTGGTTCCAGCAGTGAGTGTACATCACACCTTCTCTCTGCCTCGAAACGAATTAAATCTTACTCCAAATACTCTCAAGGTCTAAAAAAAACGTTATTATTGCAAAATCTTTAGAGCAGCCAGATTCTGACAGCTAAAATCATGACTAGTTTCAATGAACTACGAATCAATAAAAATTAAATATATATTGGTACTCATACTTCAGCTTCCTCCAAAAAAATCATAGGAGTGTCATTTGCTGTCTCTAGTAATTTTTCCAGACACATCACTCCAGGAAACTCATTTGCCTTTAATGTCTCTCGTGGAATAGCAAGATTTCAACTGGTGACTGACGTACGATGACACCCGCCCGTGAGGCTGCAAACAACTACACACACACACACACACACACACACACACACACACACACACACACACACACACACACACACACACACACACACACACACACACACACAAAACTCATGAAGCAGAGAGGACCTAGTAGCGATCAGTGAAGAGGCGGGGCCAGAAGCTGAGTATCAACCCCTGCAACCACAATTAGGTGAGTACAACTAGGTGAGTACAATTAGGTGAATACAATTATGTGAGTACAATTAGGTGAGTACGCACACACGCACACACACACACACCACCTGACTCTCCACACTATATATACACATGTACTCTTCACCCAGTTAGATGTGTTTGTGACTTGATAAAACCTACAGTGTGGGCGAAACGTAGCCAATAAAGGATCTCATTATACCGCATTTGTGTCTATTTTTCCATTGATAAAACCACTGGATGGCGAAACATCTACAAATAAAAAAAAACTGATATACAGAAACGGTGTCTACCACACACTTGCACTTGTAGAATACGTGTCCTCATAAGTCTTGTGATTCCTGTTTCAAAAAACACAGCATTAGACGGTAAGTTGTATTTTTTATGCCATTGACAGTTCCTTCTATGATCGGGTAGATAATTATACGTAATATAGTAAAGTTGCACCAAAGTTATTTTTCGCTTTGTTTCTAACATTATAGCCCTCTTTTTTTTCTCCTCCCTTTCGCCTCTGTTATTATCTACGCTTCCTCTATTCCCCTCTCCATTGATTTCGATTAGTTAATGCACACTTCCTCTCCCCATGTGTGTGACCGTCGCTGCGTGTGTCCCGCCTGGCTACGTGTTGTGAAATGAGTCATTGCAGCACCTGGTCCCCGGGGCAGGTGAGGCAAGACCTGCACAGCCTTCCCTGAACCTGGCAAACCGTCTTAATGATGGGACGGGGCACCTCCTTCCATGAACCTGGCAAGCCGACTTAATGATGGGACGGGGCACCACCTTCCATGAACCTGGCAAACCAACTTAATGATGGGACGGGGCACCACCTTCCATGAACCTGGCAAGCCGACTTAATGATGGGACGGGGCACCACCTTCCATGAACCTGGCAAACCAACTTAATGATGGGACGGGGCACCTCCTTCCATGAACCTGGCAAGCCGACTTAATGATGGGACGGGGCACCACCTTCCATGAACCTGGCAAACCGACTTAATGATGGGACGGGGCACCTCCTTCCATGAACCTGGCAAGCCGACTTAATGATGGGACAGGGCACCACCTTCCATGAACCTGGCAAACCAACTTAATGATGGGACGGGGCACCTCCTTCCACGAACCAGGCAAACCGACTTAATGATGGGACAGGGCACCACCTTCCCTGAACCTGGCAAGCCGACTTAATGATGGGACAGGGCACCACCTTCCATGAACCTGGCAAAACGACTTAATGATGGGACGGGGCACCACCTTCCCTGAACCTGGCAAACCGACTTAATGATGGGACGGGGCACCTCCTTCCCTGAACCTGGCAAGCCGACTTAATGATGGGACAGGGCACCACCTTCCATGAACCTGGCAAAACGACTTAATGATGGGACAGGGCACCACCTTCCATGAACCTGGCAAAATGACTTAATGATGGGACAGGGCACCTCCTTCCATGAACCTGGCAAACCGACTTAATGATGGGACAGGGCACCACCTTCCATGTACCTGGTAAACCGACTTAATGATGGGACGGGGCCTTGTTACTCAGATCTGATAGTTCGTTTGTGAACGTTTTTTCATCTTTGCTGGGATAGAATTTTGCCTCCTGGATAATTACCTTGTAGTCATGCATCACTAAATCCACCTAATCAGTCGGTTGAAAGTGAAAACATACAGTGGTTTGGAAGGAGATTTACTCCAGACC